AACAGTTCCATCAGCAGCCAGAGGAAGGGTAGGACATGGTCCTCAACTTTCTGTGGACAAAGTTAATTGGGGGGAGGCTTAATTACCCTCTCCAGCTGTTCTGCAGCTTCCTTCAGGCCATCATTTCTAATCTCTTTTGAGAGATTTCGAGAGAAAAAACACAGCTTTGTTTCTATCTAATGCTTTATTCAAATCACAGCTGAGCAATGTTACAGAAAGTGATGTGGTCTCAGATGTCTGAGCCAGACCAGCAGCTGAAGGCAGCAGTCCGTGATACGAGACTGACTGCTGGGACCTATAATTGCACTGTTTTCTCTTTTCCTCTGTGCCCTCTTAAAATGGTTTATCTTCCGAGGGACTCAGGCTCTGCTGCAGAGACTTCCAGACCAGAAGTGATGTGCTGGGCTTCAGCCCCTCTGTCCTGTGGTCCTGCCTAATGTGTCTCCATCGTCCTCTTTGCACTGGGTCCCCGGCAGGAGCAGCCACTGGTTCCCAGCACCTTCAGAGCAGGCAGCAGTTGGCTGGGCTGCTTCTGTCTCCACCCTGAAATGGGACATCACGCAGTCCAGGCTCCCGCTTGAATGTCTCCAAGCTGTTCCTGGAAGGATGAGCCATTTGAGCCAGGAAGAGATTAAATTATTGGAATTGAGCAAAAGCAATTTCCATGATAAGCGCTTACCCTGCGGTTTGCACGTCGAACCTGTCCTGCTGCTGTCTCTGACTCAGACTGAATTGATGATGGCCAGCTCTGAATAATCACTTTGACTTTTCTTGGAAGAGCTGATACCCTGACGTATGAATCTCTTCACACATATGTTGGCTTCCTCTGTACAGAACTTCCCCAGGCCTAAGTCTTTTAATTAGTATAAATCAGGAATAATGCTAAAAGCAGTGGTCTATCACTGGCGTAGGTGAATTATTGACTTCATTGGTCTAATTTCATCTTCTCTGAGAGCCGAAGAGAGCCTGTCATTAGGCTGTAGAAATCAGCATAGCTCCAGTCAGGTGCCTGGTGGCTGCCATGGAGCCAATTCCCCAGGTGCCCCCTCCGTGTCATATTTTACATCATATGAAACGGGTTCGGTACAACAGCAACAGGACTGTCGCAGCGCGGTTTTCCTTGCATTATTTCCCTGTGTGCCGTGGAGCAGACGTACAAATATCCAACATCCTCAAGCTATCAATTACCCCTTTGCTCTCTGGGATGTCTCTTGGCTCCCAACCACCCTGTCAGAGCAACTAAGCAGCCTCTGCAACCGTATACCGATTCCCAAACCAGCCCATTGCTGCAGCGAGCCTGGCCAGAGCGCAGGCAGTAAAGAAACTAAAAGGATGTCCTGAGCACATGATGAGCAGACTCAGAAAAGTGGTTGGAGCTACTTTCCTTTTTGCTGCAGCGTGGCCACGAGAGAGCAGTTCCCAGCTCCAGGATGTTGCAGAGGCCTAAAAAAATGGTGTTTAAATCAATCAGCAGAGAGACTTTGCTCTGCACCCCCTTCTTGTCCTTATTCTCCCCATTTCTTCTCCCTTACAGATGAACTCTGTGGTCTGGTCTGCATGATGTTACTTGCTCAGCTATTAAATCATGGGAGTAAAGGACTCCCCTTTTTTCACACTGGTAACACTGGGCTTTGCAACAGAGTTAACCACTATGCAAATGTAATGAAACCCTGATCTGCAAATTACCCCGCAGCGAGGCACTTCTGGAGTTGCACAACACCTTTTTTTCTTTGAGGGTCAGTGCAGGTGCAGAGCAGCTCTGCATACATAGGACTTCAGTCTGTTATTTCTGCACCCTTGCATCATTTTCTGTGGCATCATCCTCTTCAACTTTGACCAATGCAGCCTAACCATGCAGATGCAGTGAGTGTACTTTTCCTTGTTCTACAGGAGAAAAATCCCACAGGGTCCATAAAGCAATTTTCTCAAAATCAGAGAAAGTTGGCATCAGTATCGGATTTTCAGTTCAAGAGTTTTTAATTGCCCTGGTCTGAGCTCTCTGCTCTGTGGCATTCCTCCCTCCCAGCTGTAGCCACTCTTGATTTAACTGGATAACTCAGAAAATAAGAGATTTTTTTGTTTGTTTGTTTTTTAAAGAAAAACCTCTAGGATTTCAGTTTCTTTCTTTCTTTTTTTTTTTTCTTTCTTTTTTTCTTTTTTCTTTTGAACAGGAAACCATACTGCAGCGGAAACTAGCTGCTTTAGCATGGGTGCGGGTGACCAGTGCTATGGCTTGTTCGCACAAACCTCCGGCTGCGAAAGCTGTCTCCCCTATAATGTTGAGGAAGCCAAAGGGATCCAGCCTGGTGTATCTACTACTCCAGAGAGTTTTGCCTGAATGCAGTTGCGGTGGCATGAATTATTGATATTTCTGTTAAGGTTTGCTGTTCATGCAGGAATTTGTAATGCTTCCCCACGTTACACTGTGAATGTGCTCCCGGGTCACATAAAGCGTTGACACCCTTTTACTTCCATGGTTGTGACATTGATTTGGCCATTTCAGGGCTGGGGCTGCAAAATTAACTAAAAAGCAGCGTAAACGGGTCTTTCGTAACAAAACAAGGCAGTCCTGGGGTGAAAGGAGCTAATATGGAGGGGCAAGGAAAAGGTATAGTTACGTCTGTGCATTTTCAGGGTGTCACCACAGAGATGACGAAAAGGCTTCCAGGAATTTCTGAGCATCCTTTGCCCTGACCTCAGCGTCTGGCATTTCCAGAGGCTGCCCTTGCCGCCACTGTGTTTAGCACCTTGGGAGATTGCATTAATAATGTCCGTTTCTAAGGCAACAACCTTGCGATTTAGAAAAGACTGAGTTAAAAGTGTGCATGTTTACAAACAAACACATTTTACACATAAATATGTAAGTATTTATATATAGATGTATATAAATTTATATCAGACTTAACAAGTCACTTAGCAGTCGAGAGACAGAAAGCATCTGAATGAGGGTGATGTATTGACAGCGACAACCAGTCTCCAGAGAGTTTGGCCAGAGACTTTGCGAGAAGTAGAAGCAAATTCATTAAGCGTTCCCTGACAGGTCGCACCCACAGGCATAATGTGGGGAAAAGCTCAGACGAGGTGTTGGCTCCTGCGGGCCCAGGCAGGAGGGAACAGTCTGCCCTGGACAAGCCTGAGCCGCGATGCCCATCAGCCTCCCGGGAGCCTCTGCCAGCTCTGCCGGTACAACCTCGGCCCTTTACCCTTGCGGGATGGTAAGCTGTGACGCTGTCCCTGCTCTACACCAGGAATCACAATCCCTAGGAGCCAGTGTCCATCAGGAGAGCCTCGCTGCCTGCCCTGGATCAACGCTGTGCTGACCGACACTGGAGCAACACCCAGCCTCTTCACCTTGGATAAAGCACGAGTAAAACTTCGGAGATACCCTTGTGTATGTGAGATTGAATCAAGCCTTTGATTTTCCACTGAACAAAAGTTTCTCTTCAATTCTGGCTCATTTAGTTCCAACTTTTCTCCCTCTCTCTCCACATCCCCTCCACCCACGTGGGCTGGTTTTTTCCCAGTGCAAAGTCTGGAGTAATTGTGATGGGACTTAAATGTTGAGGATCGCTGTTGATCGACCCTTGCCGGCCCTGTTCTTCTGCTCCGCCTGTCCTTACGAAACACTCCTCTCTCATCATTGACAACAGGCTCTGTTATATTTGATTTTATTACAAGATATAAATTTCTGTCTGCAGCCCTGGCTTCCAGCACGCGGAGGAGAGAGAGGGATTGCCTAGCAACCAGGAGAACAAAAAATTAAGAGAATCAATAAATCTTAATGGAAAGCTAAACAGAGACTTTAAAGCCAACCCCCTTCCCTCCTCCCAGACCCTGCTTTCGATAAGTTCATGATGATGTGCAACACCCTGGCTATCGCATGACAAATTCAGCAAGCGCATATTCTGGAAAAGCCGGAGCGCAAGTGAAAACCTAACCTAGCTTGGGCTTAGGTAAAGCTCTGATCCTGTAAGCATTTACACTGGCAAGCTTGAATATAGCATGGCTGTGGAGGATTAGGGCTAAGGCACTGTGCTGGAGCTGGTTTTACTCAGTGGATGTTAGAAGTCAGTGCTCTGCTCCAGGTAGTATTAGTGACTTGGAGGTTGAAGAAGGTGAGGGTCTGGATGCAGCAGCTCAAATTCTCTACAAAAGGCCTGTGTGTGGGATTCCGCCTTTGGGTAGCATGCAGACGAGTTTCCAGACATCATCAGCCTACACATGTAAAACCAGCAAACCCCAGGACGATGTGTAACGCTGCATAGAGTCAGCAAGGAACAGTCCGACATCAATTGAAACCAGTCAAAAGTCAGCTTGTCTGACAGCGCAAATGCAAAGGTCACTTAGGAAAATGTATTCCAGGCAAGGGGGGACATTGTAAATGTACCAGGCCATGACTCTGCCCGTGTTTAAGGGTGTATGCTATTTTCTCCCACAAAGTGTTCCCTGGAACCTGCTCCCATCTGTATGCTTGCAGGACCAAGATGGTGATTTGGTTGTGGAAGTTTTCCTGGAGCTACGGGCACCCTCCTCCTGCAGACACTCGTGCGCACCCTGAACCTCGTGGGGAGCGCGAATGGCGTGAGCTGAGCTTTGCAGGAGGGTGCTCTGCTTTGTTGGAGGAAGTGGAGATGGACAATCTGAATGGGGAACTTGCTTTGCAAAACCAAAAATGTTTCTGTAAGCAGAGCTGTATGAGCTACAAATAGGCCGTAGCAGCGTCGCAGATGCCCGTGACCCATACCTGAGAGGAAGGTTTCAGGAGGGGCTAGGGCAGCAGCCTACAAGGCTCTGGAGCCCTCCTCGGCCAAAGACTTCCCACGTCACCCCCCCCCGAGACACCCTCTAGTCCTTAGGGGGTAAAACAAGGACAGGAGACTTGCCCCGGAGGTGACAGGAGAATCATGAGCTGCTGGAGCCCTCGGTCCCAGCAACACAGCCACGATGACGTGGGGAAGCTGTGACCCTGCCCCAGGGGTCTTTTCTCCCCCGATTCTCCCTTGACACCATGGAGGGGGGTGGAAAGCGCGAGAAGATGCTCGGGGGACGGTCCTGCCAAGATGCAGCCGTGGAAGGCGGTGGCGATGTGTGCTTGGAAGGGCAGCGGTGAAGGAGGAGTGTTTCGGAGTGCAGGTGGGTACCAGTTAAACGTTTACGAGGACCCCAAAAAGATGCTAAACGTTCAAGAGGCGCCCCGAAAGCGCTCCTCCTGAACCCGCCAAGGCGCTTTGAGCGCCAAGGCCCCATCCGACGAAGGCCGGGGTGCTGCAAACCGCAACCTCCCCGAGGTGAAGACCCCCCCGACCCCCACCTTCACCCTCACCGGGCAGCGAGGCCAGGGTGCGCCCCAGTCCTCCCAGTTTAAACCTGGGAAAGGACCGCTGGGCGATAGGGAGCGCCCTGGGGGCTGGAGATAACCCGGAGAGGGTTCCGTGGGAGGGATGCCCTGATGGTCGGGGACCCCCCCCACAACGGGGACGGGGCGTCCCGGCGACAAGTGGCCACTGGAGGTCGCGGGCGAGCGGTTTAGGGAAGCCACTAGCCCCCCCCTCTCCGCCCCTCCGGGCCCGGCGGAAGGCGGAACCGGCTCCGGTACCCGGGCGGACGGTTTCGGGCTCCGGTTCCCGGGTTTCCAGGTTTAAACCCGCCCCGGCTC